CTATGTTATTTACCCGCCAAACAATGAATACAAGTTTTGAGATGTGTACCTTTCAAACCGGGTAGAAGCACTTTCTTAAACAAAGCTTGTAGCCCTTTTTCACTCATATGGTCAAGCCACTTGTGCCACAATTCGGTAGAAGTATCATCTTCAAGTGCATTGACAACACCGTTACAAATTTTTCCTTGCATCAAATAAAGTGTATGAGTCTTCTTGCACTTAGCCACCACCAAAGAACCCTTTGTGAGCTTCCATATTCCATCACCAAATTTGTTGTTGTAGCCTTCATCATCTAGCTTCCCGGTAGAGATCAAATTGAGGCGAATGTTGGGAACATGCCTCACATCTTTAAGCAGCAACTTGCAGCCCAAATTTGTTTCCAAGCAAACATCACCCAAGCCAATAATCTTGAACAAACCTTTATTACCCATTCGAACAGAACCATAATCTCCTTTGGTGTAGGTAGTGAAGAAATCTACTCGAGAAGTCACATAAAAAGAAGCACCGGAATCAATCATGCAATTGCTCTCTTGGCCCACAAAATTGATACAATCATCTTCACAAACGACCATGAGATCACCATTGGTAGTAACTACCGTTGTGTCTTCTTGCTTCTTATCCATACTTTTGTCATACCTTTTCTCCTTATTCTTAAGTTTGCGGCATTCTCGTTTCATGTGCGCTTTTTCATGGCAATAATAGCACTCAATGTCTTTCTTTGAAAAAGAACCATCTCTTGACTTGTCACGGCTTTGATCATGACCATGAGGAGTCTTACTCCCCCTTGTTTTGCTTCCGCCTCTTACAACAAATGCTTTCGAATGAGAGGAACCCGCTAATTTTCTTCTAGTTTCTTCATTCAACAAGCTACTAGTGACTTGGTTCGTTATGACAACTCCATCAGGTGCCAAATTATTAACCGTCACAATCAAAGTCTCCCAACTTTTGGGCAAAGAACTAAGTAGCATCAAAGCCTGCAACTCATCATCAAAAATAATTTTCATAGAAGCAAGTTGGTTAACAATACTCCTTATTTCATTCAAATGTTCCGGAATAGGGCTACTCTCTTTATATTTTAAATTAACCAACTTACGAAGCAGAAAAGCTTTATTTGTGGCTAATTTCCTATCATAAAGGCCTTTTAATTTTTTCTATAAATTATGTGCTGAAGTTTCAGTAGCAACATGATAAAACACACTGTCATCAATCCATTGACAGATAACTCCAACGCCTTTTCGATTACGCCTCTTTCATTCATCATCTTGCATACTCTCGGGTTTGCCACAATCACCCTCAATGGGTCCATACAAATCTTTACAAAATAATAGGTCCTCTATTTTAGTTTTCCAAGTTACCCAATTGCTTCCATTGAAGCTAGACATGCGACCCACATTCCCCTCCATTGATTTACACAAATAAATAGATCCAAATAAATCGTAAGCTCTGATACCGGTTGTTGGGAAAAATATATGATTCCCCACCAGTAAATCAATCAATGGGAATAAAAACTAATGCGGAAAAATTAAATCAAAAGCAGCACAAGAATTTTTACATGGTTCCCTAAATGTGAGGTACGTCCACGGAATTGAAATCCGATTCTACTATCAACCAAAAAGTTTCCAAACGATTACAAACGAGACACGAAGTTCTCACAAAACCACCCTTACGTGAATTCCAAATAATCACAAATAAACAAGAGGAAAGACCTCACCAAATAGATGAACCAAAGGCTTCGAAACCAAAGTTGAAGAAGACCAAAAATTTGAATCAAAATAACTTCCACTAACACTGCAAAGTACAGCTTGAAAAAAACCTTTCAAATTAAGGTCCACCGAATTGACTTTTGAAGAGCACTCACACCAATAATTGTTCACAAAGTTGCTGCTGTTCTACCCCACTTCGGAAGAAAACAATATTAAGCCATTGTTATGTGCTACAGGAAAACAAAACAATATTTATATATATTGTTAAATCTTAGGCTTGTTTTATCAAAACCCTAGTTGTTACCAAATTGAATTGGGCTTTCACAAGTTAGATATATTATATAAAATATATTATACCCAAACCAAACCAAATTAAAATTCTTTTAACAAACTAATTGGGTCTCAAACTCCAATAAGAATGTATACCCAACACGGATATATTCAAAGAAAGTCGACTATCTGTACCAACACTACAATTTTTTTCTGATGCAACTCATGCACCTTTTTTCTCTGTCACTTTGCCAAAAACGTTCAAACTTGATGCCTTGAATTTGGATGATGACTTCTCTTATTGTCACGACCCGCTCCCCGTACCCAAGGGTTAAGTATTGTGATGGCTAGTAACTGACGTTACCTCCGGCCAATTCTTGAACAAATTAATAAACGCAAACAGAAATAATCACTACAACAAAAAACACTTTTAGCGACCTGTTTTTCAGTCACCAAAAGTGTAATTTTGGTTGCTGAAAGTATCCGCGACATGAACAAAATTGGTCGCTAAAGCCCTGTCACTAAATTCTTTGGCGACCAAATCAATTTTGGTTGCCTTTACAAATAAATTGGCGACCAAATATTTCCATCGCCAAAAGACTAAAATTTCGTCACCATAAATTAACATTTAGTCACTAAAAGTAGCCTTCAGCTAATAACATGTTAGGTTTCAGCGACATATAAATGCGTCACTAAAAATAACTTTCAGTGACTAAAAGAATTGGTTGTTGAATGTTAAAACTTTTGGCGACCAATCAAGTTTTGCGTCGCTAAAAAAATTATGGACACATACTTTCAACAACATAAATAAAATGTCACCAAAAGTAAATTTAAACTAAAAAAACCTGTCACCAAAAATTCATTATTTATAATTTTTTTTTAACAATTTCCCTATTCAATACATAATTTATAAACCTATAAACATAAGCAAAATATAATTCAAATTAACACACTTGTGCAAAGCATCCAAAATATAAACTTAATTCAAAAGTAGTACCATATTAAATATAAACAACATATCAAATCCAAAACATCCAATTTAAGTACAAATCTCTTACAATCCCAAACTTGAAATATGTAATGCCCAAAAACCTTCTAAGCTTGCGAATTCATAACAAAAGCCTATGACAAAATATATTCAAAAATTCAAAATGTAATCCTTTGATGCTTCCCGAACTATATTTCATCCATTGCCAATCTGTCAAACATATGAAAAAAACTTCAAACATGTAATTCCAAAAAACTTTCCAAGCTTGCAAATTCATAACAAAAACCTATGACAAAATATATCCAAAAATTCAAAATGTAATCCTTTGATGCTCCCCAAACTATACTCCATCCATTGCCAATCTGTCAAACATATGAAAAAAAAAATTATAATGTTAAAATGTTAATAATAAAGGTCTTGGCCTAAAAACAGTGGTTTCACATTATAGATGAACAAATTGAGAGCAAATTTTCCTATGGTAAATTACAAAATTTCAATATACCAAAATCAAAAAGTAACACATGATTCACTAGTTAAACTTGGCATATATGAACTACTTACAAGCAGTATCTATAAATTTGTACATATTCCTAGTTCTTTTTTTCAACCTAAAGATCAATACTCGTGCTCTACCACAGTGCATGCAGCACACTTCAGCCTATATAAAGTTATTGAGGGAAGCACACTAAGTATTGGTTGACGCATTTTGCATGATTAACTGTTGATGCATATTTCTTGAATCAAACTATTCATAAAGTTAGTTTTAATCTATCACATGCATCTACAATCACTCTCCAAAAGGAGATTTCAGAATTGTGTTTGAATGCTTTGCACTCATTCAAAGTTTTGGCACCCAAACCCACCGAATGCAACATAAGTTAACTGACACTCCAACAAGAACAAAAAAAAAAAAAAAAAAAACTACTACTACAATGGAAATTCAACCTCACCAGTTTGGCCATTTTGTTGCTTCAGGCAATTCCCAATTTACTATACACATGATATAGAAAAGAACAAAAACAACTAGTAGCTCATTGGCAAAGCTAACAATGCAACAAGATGAAAGTCAAAAACCAGCAAAGATGGATAGCAATAAATGGGTCTCTCTGTCCGTGTCTTAGACTTGCACAAGAAAGCACATTCAAGCAAGATATTAATCATTTGAATCAACAGATAAATAGGTTTATGAACAATAGCAATACGCATGAAAAAAGGGAACACAATTATCTTATAGGCGAAGTCAAGCAAGTTACTTGCTAATGTCAACTCATGAATCGCATTGGGCGTTTCTTCAAACTCTCATTCCTAAACTCTAGTTCCTTCCTAAACTCTAGTTCTTTCCTAAACTTTACTAGTCTCCTTCCTAAACTCTCATTTTCTTTTCTCTAGTTCCTCTCTAAACCCACACATCCCGCCATACAAACCCACTAGCATTAAACCTATAATAGCCATCACGGCCAATAGAGAGATAGTAGCCATACCTATATGGAATTAAATCATCCAAGGAGTTTTTTGTAGATTAAGAAGATGAGATCTAACAAGTCCAAGGAGTTCTTTGCAGAGCTCAAGGTCTTATGCAAGATACATCACATTAATGTGGTAAGTAACATTTTCATATCTGCAAAATGAAATTTAATGTGATTTAACAAAGTTCAAACATTTTTTACCAATCAAGCCTATATGTATTTATAGGTGGAGTTATTGGGGTATGCCAGTGGAGATGACCACCTCTACTTGGTTTATGAGTACATTCAAAATGGATCTGTCAGTGATCACCTTCATGATCCATTACTCAAAGGTATTTATTTAGCATAGGCCTCTCAACAGATTGAATTCAGACTGGTTTTAGCATAATCCGAAGTACAACAATTCAATGCATCGAACAACTATATACTCCACCATGAAAAGCTACTATCTAATTGAAAGCACAAAATGATGATCCAATTTGGTGTATAAAATCAAACCATACATGCATATTAAAAAAACAATGCATAATGACAATAGGAGCACCTCTGTTGATGAAACCATTACATTCTTCTACTATTTGCTGCAATTACATATTAAAAAAAGCCAGCCTTGAATGCTCCATCGGAAAACCTGGCAAATATCAAACAGAGATCATAATATTCAAAAAGAAAAAAGAAGATTTCAAGTTTGTGGCATTAAAATTCAGCATGTATCATATAACGAATGCTGCAAACCTAGCAAATTTTCTCAATATAATATGGTTTTAATTTGTATTTTCTGTTGTCAGCTTTCTAATTGTCATTGGCTTTATACTAGGAAATTGCTCAAGTAGCTAATATATATATATCATCAATCTCTAAAAATCCAAAGCTCTACAAGATTATCCTTTCTTCACTTCAAAATTGACCACAAATTTGGAAAGAAAACGCAAGCACTTCTGAATTCAGGCGTATAACTTGAACAAAAAGAAGCAGAATTTTAAGGTCAAAAGCAAACTCATTCTTGTCGGCAAATCAGATACACCACCATTGCTCCAAAAAAAAAAACATAATGTTCCGATTTTGTTCTTCAAGAAGGTTTGTATCACAAACATAGTTATCATCTCTTTTGTAAATGATGTTAAAAAAAAAAAAAACCACCAATATAAAACATAATGTTCAAATTTCAAAAACCAGGAACTTTGGTTGTGTGCCTGGTGACCAAGAGTCCATTCTACACCAATGGACTAAAACTGACTTGTTCATTATTAGAGATTTGAGAGTGCATGGTTTTTAACTATTGCGTTGTTCAAAGCTCAATAAAAATTTAAGCTTCTCGATTTCTGTTGTGTTCATATTACTATTTTCGGTACATGATGACAAGTGCTGCACATGATATCCTTGCTACCGCTAGAGTGAAAATTCACTTCATTTTGCAACAACTTGAAGCAATCCTTTTAAGCAAAGAAACATGTAAAGTACTCGTTGGACACTCTTGACACGCATTGGCCACACATCAGAACATGTCCTACTAGTTTTTAACAGTTACATTACATGTATGAAAATCACAGAAAAACTATCACAAGCAAACTGTGAAACTAAATCAAAAGAAATAGCCTTTCATACTAAGCTTTGGCAAAAACCAGATTCCAAACAACCTGAGGGATAAAGCCCCATTACAGCGAACAAGTGAAAGGATCAACATGTATCTAAAGCAAATTTAGGAGGCATGATAACACATAACAAGAGAGAAAATGATGAGATGTTAATTATTATTAAGCACACAGTATCCAGAGATCAACATAAAGTCTCGTAAAAATACCTGAACCACATGCTGGTATCTATTTGGTCTCTTTCAGCAGCTTTTGACCTCAAATTCCTATGCAACTTCTTTTGTCTGAATAGAACTTTCAATCACTTTTTCAATCATATGTCATACATATGTAGCCAGCAATTCTTGACCTTTAACTCTCCAAAGCAAGCCTGTGGTATACGTATTCTACCTCCAAAATTTATGCACTAACGTACTAGAAGCCCACACTTAAGGGCGTAACTCACTAACCATCTACCTCAGAGAATTCCATTTTAGTTTATTATATAAATAGCATTGACGCAAGATAGAAGAAGCAAAAAACCATGGGACTTGGAACATGAGTTGTTGAAGAAGATCCTGATAACAGAGCAAGCTATCAATAATATTCCTCTGATGAACAATCACTATTTAGGTAGTTGCTTTGTTAAAAAAACAAAAAAACAAAAACAAAAAAAAAATGGAAGGTTGGATACAAGTGCTGCTATAACCTAACCAAATATCAATATTTTGCTGTGAAAGTGAAACTATTTCGTTTCACAATTAAAAAATAGAAAAAAGAAATCCCCCACTGTGAAAAAGTATTGATTAGTTGAATGGATAAGATGGAAAAAATTGAATGGAAATCACATCTAGAATTAAAAAAAAAAAAAAAAAAAAAAAAAAAAAACTTTGTTTTTTGACATTTATATATGATGTTATATATGTTTTGCCCTAAAAATTTGGCTTATGCTATTACCAGAGCAAAAGTGGCTTTTACTAAGCAAGGTACAACAATTCAATGCATCGAACAACTATATACTCCACCATGAAAAGCTACTATCTAATTGAAAGCACAAAATGATGATCCAATTTGGTGTATAAAATCAAACCATACATGCATATTAAAAAAACAATGCATAATGACAATAGGAGCACCTCTGTTGATGAAACCATTACATTCTTCCACTATTTGCTGCAATTACATATTAAAAAAAGCCAGCCTTGAATGCTCCATCGGAAAACCTGGCAAATAACAAACAGAGATCATCATATTTGAAAAGAAAAAAGAAGATTTTAAGTTTGTGGCATTAAAATTCAGCATGTATCATATAACGAATGCTGCAAACCTAGCAAATTTTCTCAATATAATATGGTTTTAATTTGTATTTTCTGTTGTCAGCTTTCTAATTGTCATTGGCTTTATACTAGGAAATTGCTCAAGTAGCTAATATATATATATCATCAATCTCTAAAAATCCAAAGCTCTACAAGACTATCCTTTTCTTCCCTTTAAAATTGACCACAAATTTGGAAAGAAAATGCAAGCACTTCTAAATTCAGGGGTATAACTTGAACAAAAAGTAGCAGAATTTTAAGGTCAAAAGCAAACTCATTCTTGTCGGCAAATCAGATACACCACCATTGCTGCGCTAGCCAAAAAAAAAAAAAAAACAAAATGTTCCGATTTTGTTCTTCAAGAAGGTTTGTATCACAAACATAGTTATCATCTCTTTTGTAAATGATGTTAAAAAATAAAAATAAAAACCACCAATATAAAACATAAGGTTCAAATTTCAAAAACCAGAAACTTTGGTTGTGTGTCTGGTGACCAAGAGTCCATTCTACACCAATGGACTAAAACTGACTTGTTCATTATTAGAGATTTGAGAGTGCATGGTTTTTAACTGTGGCATTGTTCAAAGCTTAATAAAAATTTAAGCTTCTCGGTTTCTGTTGTGTTCATATTACTATTTTCGATACATGATGACAAGTGCTGCACATGATATCCTTGCTACCGCTAGAGTGAAAATTCACTTCATTTTGCAACAACATGAAGCAATCCTTTTAAGCAAAGAAACATCTAAAGTACTCGTTGGACACTCTTGACACGCATCGACCACACATCAGAACATGTCCTATTAGTTTTTAACAGTTACATTACATGTATGAAAATCGCAGAAAAACTATCACAAGCAAACTATGAAACTCAACCAAAAGAAATAGCCTTTCATACTAAGGTTTGGCAAAAACCAAATTCCAAACAACCTGAGGGATAAAGCCCCATTACAGCGAACAAGTGAAAGGATCAACATGTATCTAAAGCAAATTTAGGAGGCATGATAACACATAACAAGAGAGAAAATGATGAGATGTTAATTATTATTAAGCACACAGTATCCAGAGATCAACATAAAGTCTCATAAAAATACCTGAACCACATGCTGGTATCTATTTGGTCTCTTTCAGCAGCTTTTGATCTCAAATTCCTATGCAACTTCTTTTGTCTGAATAGAACTTTCAATCACTTTTTCAATCATATGTCATACATATGTTGCCAGCAATTCTTGACCTTTAACTCTCCAAAGCAAGCCTGTGGTATACGTATTCTACCTCCAAAATTTATGCACTAACGTACTAGAAGCCCACACTTAAGGGCGTAACTCACTAACCATCTACCTCAGAGAATTCCATTTTAGTTTATTATATAAATAGCATTGACGCAAGATAGAAGAAGCAAAAAACCATGGGACTTGGAACATGAGTTGTTGAAGAAGATCCTGATAACAGAGCAAGCTATCAATAATATTCCTCTGATGAACAATCACTATTTAGGTAGTTGCTTTGTTAAAAAAACAAAAAAACAAAAACAAAAAAAAAATGGAAGGTTGGATACAAGTGCTGCTATAACCTAACCAAATATCAATATTTTGCTGTGAAAGTGAAACTATTTCGTTTCACAATTAAAAAATAGAAAAAAGAAATCCCCCACTGTGAAAAAGTATTGATTAGTTGAATGGATAAGATGGAAAAAATTGAATGGAAATCACATCTAGAATTAAAAAAAAAAAAAAAAAAAAAAAAAAAAAAAAAAAAAAAAAAAAAAAACCAACTAATCAAATTCATTCAATTTCTTTAATAGAGGTGACTTTAGCAATTTGACTTATTTATTTGAGTTAGACAAGGACTTCAGATTTTTAAGCAAAACACAACAACCACCCCCTAATTAGCATATTTGGTCTTATCTTATTTATATATCAAATGGTTCCTTGGATCATCTAATTGTTTGTCATATCATGAATGCTCAAAACATTAGGATTCCATATTTTTATGTATGTATGTGTTATGATGCATTCATAGTAGTAAAAAGAAACTAAGAATACAATAAGTGAATCCTCTAATAGCTACAAATTTAATTAAAAAAAAAGTATCAAAATTCTCTAAATAAATTTAAAAAAGCCTTAACAAATAGTCAAATATTACCTGATGTAGTAATTGCCCCAAACGAACAAGTGCAGCTTTTTTATCTCTATGCATTAACCGATAACCTATAACCAATTCGCAATTGTAAATCAAAGTTTAAATTAAAATCGCACTATACACAAAATTAATGGAGAGTTACGGGTATGAAATAAATGTCAAACAACATATAAGGATACTCAAGTCTTGTCTTCAAATTTTTTTTTAAAAAAATTTCTACCTTATTTGTCCTACTTCCTTGCCATGGATATGTGCAAAATAAACAATTTCAAAAAATATAATTATTAACCCCAAATACCCATTTTGTGTTAATAGGAGTGTTAAGAAAGAAAGAAGAAAAAGATCCAATCAGAAAATATAATCAACAAGCAGATGCATATTCAAGTTACAAGGACAACCCAATGTAATGATCCAAACATCCTCAACATCCCAAAAAGAAAAAAGAAAAAAAAAATGCCTATTCTTGGCAAGTAACTGGCGTTCCAATCACCCAAGTTATGCAAAATGAGAAGGTACACTCCAGGGCAGAAAACAAGTCATGTTGCCCATTGAATATGGTTGACATCCAACATGATATGCCTTCTAGTACAATACCAGGAAATACTCTTAGCTTCACTAGAATCCTAATGGAGTGTTAAAATCACAGACACAAATCCCTAAAGAAAAAACCATAAATAACCTGCATTCTCCACAAACAACCAATGCCATCAAAAAGAGGTCACCTGTTCAAAGTGTTCATTATAAATCACAACCCAACACCAACAACAACACCAACACCAACCACATACTCAAACTGTATAGATTTACAGATTGTCAGGTCAATGAATAGCCAACCATGACGCACCAATAAACTACCATTTTACTGCCAATATAAGTCAAGAGGAAAAATTCAAAAAGAAAAGGAAACCATAACTACAAAGATCTACTGCTAGTGTCAATAAAGATCCATTGCATGTTTTTCTCTAATAACTCAAAAAAAAATGCTTATACAAATTTTACAGATTGCACAAGATCTTAGCATTTTTTTTAAAGTAAGTGACTAAAGTATTTCCATACCACTGTCTTCAAACAAAATGTTGATATTAGCATAAAAAAAGCTTAATTGAAATCTCTTCACAAAGTGTTCCATTCTCTAAGATAACTAAGATGACTAACCATGAACCTCAAGCTGTTGACGTACATAAACAAATAGATATAGTTCAGTTTGACGCATATTTCGACAAAATCTAATCATGGTGCATTAACTATCTCTCGCATATTTGGATTTCTTAAGAGGGAGGACGTAATCTACATTAACAGATCAACTATTTACAACATAAAACAGAATGAAGGTAACTACACATGCAATTATACCTGAAGCTCTACTGATCTGGAGTCACTACTAGACATATAGTTCATCTAGGTCACACAACAGATATAATACATATTAAAAATAAAATAAAAATTAGTTTATTTCACCTCTGTAACTTTAAAAATTGGTTTAAGAACATACATTCAGAATATCATTTGGCCTAGAGGAGAGAAGACGGCATCGACCCAAAGAAGAGGGCACTGATCTGCCGCCCAGCGCTGCTGTGCCATTGGCATCCAACGGCTCGAGAAAGCAAGAGGGAGAGGGACTACACTCAACATATCAGAGATAGAGAAGAGAAGAGGGGATCGACCCAAAAAGAGGGTGCGATCTGCCGCCGTGCAGCGTTGCTGTCAACAGCGCTCCGGTGCCTTTCATATTCGGCGATGCAGCAGAGCAAGAGGGAGAGAAGAAGAAGAAGAGAAGAAGAAGAAGAGGAAGAAGAAGAAGAAGAAGAAGAAGAGAAGAAGACATTACCTGGATCGACCTGTGTATGCTGTTTCAGATGGAGTGAGAAAGTGAGAAGGAAAGTGATGGTCAATTATTTGTTTATTCACTCAGTCAATTATTTTTGTCAATAAAAAATGGAAAATGTTTGAGGGTCACAATTTTTGTGGCCACAATGGCTCAAAACTGCCAAAACGTTTTGGCAGTTTTGAGCCATTGTGGCCCTCTAGCATTGTTGATAAAAAATTAGAGTAAAGGTAAATAATTTATTGGCAACCAAATAAATTTGATTGCCATAAATATTATTCAAATTTTCAGCGACCAAGTCATGCTTGTCACCAAATACATATAGTTGGCGACTAAAATTTTCGTCGCTAAAAATTAATTTGGTCGCCAAATTGTTTTTAGCGCTCCCGCACAAATAAATCACTTGGCGCCAAACTCAATAGTGACCAAAATTTTAAATTCGTCACCAAAAGTTTAGTTTTTAGTGACCACAACTATTTTGTCGCCAATGATGTATCTTTGGCAACTAAATTTTTGTTTGGTTGCTAAAAAACGTTGCCAAAAATATTTTTTGTTGTAGTGAATATTTAAGTGAGGGTACCAAAATAATCATTGGAGCTCCTATTTTTATTACAAAATTTATTGACTAAAAGGCCGATATTTACATAGAAAAATATCATAGTGTTGTGTGTGTCTATTCCGCAGCCCTGCGTCTAAGACTTTCCAAAATCTATTTCTGAATTGCACTATTTCCTGAAAATTGGTAAACAGCTATAGGCACATGGCAGAGTGAGAAATATTATGCTAAGAGTATAAGGGACACAAAATAACCATGGATAGTTATGTAACTAAAATATTTAAGATAACTTAGTCTGAACAAATAATCATTTAAGTAACAAAACTAAGATATGTAAATAAATAACCATAACTACGGTACAGAACAGAATGGAATAAAGGTCACAGGAGTGACAGTCAGAATAGAGATACAAATTCAATAGGTGGCTCGTACTGATTATAGAGGTGGCTCCCCCAATAGTGTAGCACTTATCTCCTTACAACACTTTGCTCCGCACAGAACAGAGGTCAATAGATCCATGACGATAGAGGGCCACAAAGTGACCAAAGAGAGACCGATGGTTATTTAAGTCTCTCAAGGTATGGGACTGCCGTGGTGGTACTTGCAAAACATAATTGCTTATAAGGTTATAGTCAAATATTCTTTAAAAGTTAAACAAACATATCTATAGATTTCATTTAAAGCAAATAAGGTTCAGAAAATAATGCACGTAATTGAAATATTAATATAATTTATAAAACATAACTTGTATAAAATAAATTATGGTAAAACATATGTAAAATACATTATGGTGACTCAAGGTATATTATAACTCATCTTAATATTGACCCTTAGCCTTTGCTTTCCATTATCACAAACCTTCTTACTGTAGTTTCCTAGTTCTAATATCTCTGTCGTGTTTTTTTTTTGTTTTTTTCTTCACTAATCTTTGAGCAACTCCTCCCTATTTATAGGGAGGCAAATCATGCCATCGACCAACATGTGGCCACACCAAATCTTCCTCAGATTGATCCAATCTTGCCTTAGATTGATTCTTATCCTATTAACTTTTAATTATACTTTGGCCTTAAATTTCGTACTAATTACATTGTTTTACAAATTACACATAATAATACAAATAAATCGTATATTTTCCCAACTGTAATTAAATAATATTAGTATCAATTTTAAAGAATAATTAAAATTTGGGTTGTTACAATCTTCCCTCCTTTTAAAATTTCATCCTCGAAATTTGTCAAATGTGTAAGCTATCCGCTGTGCACTCTGATAAATATGCATTCGATGATTAATCTGATAGAAAATATTACCTCAAAAACTTTACCAAAAATAACTCACTGTCTAATTGTCAAAAATTATTTTGGGCCAAAATGAGAAACAATTGGCGACTTTAAAAACTTTTCATTAGTTTTATTTTCGAAAAAAAAAATAAAAAGTAAAAAATAAAATGAGAACACAATCAAACAAGCGACTGGAAGTGAAATGACAGAATCATATGTAGGAGTTAAAGGAATTTGAGATGAACTCTCATTTCTTTTATCCGTGAACTTTCCACTGATGGAAAATAGTTTCAAAATTAGTATTTTTTAAAATTTGAACCCACTTTTAAAAAGTCAAAATGATTTTTTTTTATTTTGAATACTGAACTGAAAATTATATGTATTTAATTATATTATAATTTTGATAGGTGCTTGAGCCTGACACCTTTTGTT